GGAGGGGAGGAGAGGAGGAGGAGGAGGAGGTGCGTGCGTCTGAGGGAGACGTCTGTGTTCCCTTGAGAAGCGTTCTGCACTGCATGAGAAGGCTGCTGTCCTGAAGTCCGTGTTTAAAGCCCCCATTTTTACTGTCGTTGTGTAGTATTTTATTGGGGTCACTTAGTAATTTAAGAAAGAGACATTGTTTTTAACTTTAGACTGATAAAAGATGTCTGCTACCTTATTAAGTAGATAATACCTTCATTTGGTAGAACACCGTCTTTTATATATTCAGTTTTTACTTTTAGACAAAGTAACACATTTTTAAATGTACTGCAAATGTATGCAAGAAGTGTGTCTTTTTAAATTTTAAAGCAAAGACTAAAAAATGAAGAACTCATTCGGTTAGCTGAAGAGAGACGAAAAGAAGCAGAAAGAAAGAAGAAAGAAGAGGAAGAAAAACATAACTTGCAACTTCAGCACTACTATGAGAGAGAAAATATGATCGGAGATGAAACAAAGGTATGTCTCAGGGGAGACGTGTCAGGCCCAGCGCGCATGCCTGGCAGAGTCGGGAGTAGTTAGGGAAGGAGAGAGAGGAGCGCTGCCTGTCTGCCCTGCCTTTCAGCCCGGTGCCAACACGCTGCTGTTGCCCTTGTTTGTGAGGTGCTGCCACAGTTGGGATTTCGGCTGTTGTCAGTCTTGTTACTGGGCTCCTGTGTCTGGCTGTCTGCCTAGGATGTAACCTGCAGACCAGAACCCTGTGGACTGTGGGCCCTAGGACCACACAGCAGCTCGCCAGAGTGACTGGCCGGTCAACATACTAGAAAAAGTATTGGCTTGACTCTTATTGATCTAGTGATTCATTCTTTGTTTTATGTATTATATTGGAAATTAAATGTAAGCACCAAAAAGACTGCTTTTGGAGTCCCTGCTTCTGACGCACAGGGCTGATGTTAGGAATGGTACATGAATCACAAATCACAGTTAGACAGGGCTCTCTTCTCCAGAACCCTAATATGGTCTTATGCAGCTGAACCAATGGACTATTTTGTAAAGAGTATTTTATTAAAATACTTCTTCAACGGTCTTGACTATTGAATGTAGTTTGTACATGTGTTTGTGTGTACAGAAAGATTTGTTGTTGTTGTTGTTGTTGTTGTTGTTGTTGCAGCATTTGAGACAACCTTCTCCTGTGGTTCCTGCTCTTCAGAACAAAATGGCCAGCAAAGCCCAGAGACCTCCTTCAGTCGACACCATCATAAGCTCCTTCATTCATGTACGGACTTCTCTTAGAGTGACTCTTGAGTGTCTTGGGATGCAGCGCTTTGTGAGATTTCTGACTGTTTGCCTATTGCTCGAGTTGTAGCTGATAGCTCTTGGTGCCCTAAAGCTTAGGCCTTACCGTGCGAGTTAAGTCATTCTTCATAGGACATGGTCTGTTAGATGGTATTTATTTGTCTCAGCTCCTTAAAAAGAGCCTCTTTGTTGTTGTTGTCATTTGTTTGTTTTGAGACAGGTCTCATTCTGTAGCCCTGACTGTTCTGGAATTCACTATATAGACTAAGCTGACCTCTGACCCGCAGAAATCTGCTCGCCTCTGCCCCCTGAGTGCTGGGATTAAAGTTGTTCACCACCATGCCCAGCTAAGAAAGTCTTTTGGAAAAAAATATGTTCTAACTAGCTGTGGTTATACTTGTGGAGTCTCTAACTAGCTGTGGTTATACTTGTGGAGTCTCTAACTAGCTGTGGTTACACTTGTGGAGTCTCTAACTAGCTGTGGTTACACTTGTGGAGTCTCTAACTAGCTGTGGTTACAC